CGACCTTCCCCAAGCAGCACCAAGAACTGGAGGTCATATATCAAATATTTGAGCCTATGGGGGGAACACCTCTCATTCAAACCACTACAGAGTGAATGTATGTGGCACATCTTGAGGGAAAAAAGATGGTCTAAGACCAGAAGAGGCTCACATGCACAGAGCATCAAAATAAAGAAAATAGAGATTTGTTTTCCTCTGATCTGAACCTCCCTCTGAAACCAGTCTTTACTGTGCTATGCAGAAGAGAAGGACAAAAAAGTTATTGTTGTTTTTTCTGGAGGAATAAAAACCAGTATGACTTCACTATTCACTGCTCAGCCACCAACTGTTAGGACAACTTCAAATCATTAATTTGGCCAGATAGTTAATGTTTTTTAACAGTACAATTACTTAATAAATAACTGTAGAGCACTTTGTAAATACAAAGAGCTACATAAATGTTTAATAATCACATTAAGTCAGTAGGCTTATTCCAAATTACACTTTCATATACAAGCACTTTATTAGTATTTCAGGAAAAATGACGATAATATATCCGATGACATCATTATAGACTATATTTAAAAGACTACTGCAAAAGGATTATACAAAAACAAAACAACTTTAGCCAGTATAGGCTGAAAAGAGTAGACTGGTATGCAACATTTCCTTCACAAAAGACAAAAAGGAAGGACAACAGGATCATAATGTATAACTGAGCACCAATGAAGACCATTACTATACTTGGCAACTTAGTTTTCCCTATTTGAAGGAGAATTTGTCAGATAAAGCAATGTGAAGGACATGGAGTGGGAGAAAGAACATGGTTCTAAAGGCGCTAAAAATCCACTTCCTTTAAGCAGAGTTTAGTAAAATAGTAGCAACATTTTATGAAGTACTTGGCATTCATAGCTCACCTACTACTTGTGACAATGCATTGAAGTGTATGCTGATTACCTCTCCTGTTTTTAAAATGAGAAGACTGATGATGCAGAGTGTTTAAGAAATTTCCTGTATCATGCATCTAGTAAAAGGTAGAGTCAGAATACAGTCCTAAACAGTATGGCCCCAATAGCTTCTGGGAGGATTCTGGGACAAGCTATATTATCCTAATGGAATGGCACAAATGCAATCTTCCTCTGTCCTGCCTCTCGATGTGGCTGGCTGACTAATGTTACCACAACCATCTTAAACCATGGGATAACAAAGGACAAGAGACCTGAGCTCTGTCATAACACTACTTAATCAATGCCAGCAGTCAGTTATCCTTGAGATTACTTGTTCTATGTGGAAAATAAGACCCACCACAGTCAGATTTTCCCTACTTGAAACCATAACCAATATGCCAAGGAAGCCTGAAGATAACAAGAACAGTTATCACTCATGAGTACTTGCTATGAACAAGGCATTATTTTGTTTTATGTGTGTTTAATCATTTTGACCTCATTGTAATTCTATAAATTCCCACTTCATAGATAAAAAAATGAGGCACGGTTCTATCTGCCTTGCCCAAGACCTCATAGCTATTCAAGGATTCAAACCCAGCTGCACACTGACTCCTAAACTCTCAAGCAACCACCAAAGTGGAGGCAGTGTTGAATTTCTGAAGCAATAGTAGGCAGGTAGGGAATTCAGTGATAGTGTAAGATGTAGGCTACCAAAGTCAGGAAAACCAAAGATACAGTCACCATATACTCAACTTGTAATGCTTTTGAGGAATATTGGAATATGCTGGTTCTGATCATTTCTGGCTTATGTAGGGACATGTTTATATCACAGATATTAAATACATTAGGAAAAATCACTGATAAGGATTCCGAACATATTATACAGTTGTGTTTGACAAATTGGTAAATTGTTTTTTCTGCTGGTAGTTTTTTGACAGAATTGATTTGTCTTTGCATTGTATTAGCAATTACAGATAAACTTCTCTTACTACTTTATGATTATGAAATGTAGCCATGCTTGTGATAAACATTTCAGGTATCTTTTATTCAATAAGAATAAAATGCTTCAGAAAAATGAAATATGTTACCTTTTCACCATTTGCTGTTATTTTTTATCACCTTTATAAAATGATTTCTTCTTAATAAGTGCAGAGCAGATATAAGAAAGCTGTGGTAGGTAAATAATTTTGCCTAATGTCATTAATTACTAGAAGCTCAATTATACTGTGAAGTGCTATAATTGTCATGAAGCTTCAGAATCCTTATCATGGATTCTATTATGTATATAATTCATTTAAATTACATTAATTATACAGATTTTTAATGAAGCAGAGAGACTGCTTTCAATTTTCACAAGTAGAGACAATGATCAAAATATTTATGTGCATATTACATATTTTGTTCTGTTGACATTCTTAAAATAATTCATTTACTCAGACAATATTAGCACCTTTACGTGTGTGGGGGAAAAAAGACAAACCTGTTTGGAATTGTTAAACTATATGATCCTTAGTTCTTTTATTTAAGATCTAACATAATTCAGGCAGTATTTTTCAGAAACTGAAATATTAAAGCTTTTGTTGTTTTTGGCATTTGGGCTGAAACCCAGTGTCTTATACATGCTAGGCAAGTGCTCTACCATTGAGCTAAACCACTAGCCCCATTACATTGACTGACTGACTGACTGACCACATGCATGTTCCACAGTGCATGTGTAGAGGTCTGAGAACAAGATGCAGGAGTCAGTTTACTCCTTTCTGCCACATGGGTCCTAAGGATTGAAGTCGGGTTTTCAGGCTTGATGTCACTTGCCTTTACCTGCTGAGCCATCTCACCCACTCACACCACAGCTATTTAAAGAAATTAATGGATGGCATCTATAAAATTGCCTTAATGTCATGGCCATGCTTGACACTGCATTTCTAAACCTGGTTTCTAGAGCTCACATCCAAAGGTACTTAGGCAAGTAACTTCAACTTTCTATGCTTCCATTTTTTCATTTATAGAATTAATATACTAACATTTCATAGAAGATAAAGAGGGATATGTCAGGTATTTAAAACCATATCTAACTCATAGTTAGTGATGGATAATTAATCTCTATTGTTTACTTTTCTGCTGTGGAATTCAATTTAATATGCCTGAAACTGATGCCTAAGTACACCTTTATGAGTAACAGAACTGTTTTAACATTAAAATTCCAAGTCAGACATGGTGATACATACTTGTAATCCCTGCACTGACACAGGAAGATCATGAGTTATAGATCAATGTGAGCTTCATAGCAAGTTCTAGGTCAGCCTAGAATATTTAACAAGACTTTGTCTCTAAAAAAGAAATAATAAAATAAAACATTTCCATAAAAATAGCATAAGATGGCCTTGTGAACTAAATTATGAATCCCCAAATATTTGTTTTTAGAAGTATTTTCTGATATTATGGTTTTTGAACAGCATGGTAGTAAAAATGGTCTTCATTCTTCAAGTTTTTATTAAATTTTGTTTAACCAGTGATCTAATTCCAGCCATGTAATATCTGGTGTAGAGAAATTAAGGAGGCCAGGTGTAGTAGTTTTTAGATCCATACAAGGTTGGACCTTAGAGGTGAGGAGAAACCCAGGTGATGGGTGAAAAAGGAATGTAAGTGAGTACAAGGTGTAGTGTATACGATAAGTTATGCTTTCTCTCCAATCTTCCCCTCTGTCTTATAAATGACTGCATGAGGCTGGCCAGGGAGCATGGAACCTAGCTTTCCGACAAGGAAATCTGAAGTTCTTATGGAAAATACTACATTCACACTCTCTTTTCAGTGTTCAAACAAAATCAGAAAACTGTACCCTGCGCTCAGTATGTGTTCCTTCGTATATATGGGCTGTTTGTTGACTGGAGTTTCAAATTATAACACAGGGGGCTTCTGGAGGATATGTAATGAGTAGCTGCTTGTTTGTTGCTCTAAGCGCAATCCTAGTGAGACTTTCATAGAAGAAAGATTGTTAGGATGTACCAGCATTGGGTTTTATTTCCCTTTTAATAGTACATCATGGTAGATGGTTCAACGGATGCTTTAAAACCTAAGGAAGTAAAGAGAAAGGAAATACATACAAAAGATTCCTTCCATGTTGGAATGCCAGTTCTGAAGTGTGTGTTGGCCAAGTCCTGGGGAGCTGGTTTATACCAGTGTGAGAGGAAGGAAGGGAAGAAGCATTAAGTGTAATTAGGTTATCCTATTTACTTTGCAATTTGACATTTTACATAGTTCCAGATTCTTTTTTAAAATATTTTATTTATTATTTTTATTTTTTATGTGTATGCATGCATGGCCTGCATGTAGGTGAGTGCACCCATGTCATGCAATGCCCACAGAGGACAGAGGAGGCTGTCAGATCCCCTGGAACTGGAGTTAAGGACAGTTGTTAGCTGCCATGTGGGTCCTATGGTTCAAACCCAGGCCTTCTGTAAAAACAGTCAGTGTTCTTAACCACTGAGCCATCTCTCCAGCCTTAGTTCCAGATTCTAATATTTTGTTCTCTAACAACTAATTGTCCAAAACTACAAAGTATTTAAGTTTCACAGTGACTTTATGGAAGCTCATTAATAATTTGCTTGTTTTCTTGTGATGTTTTGAATTTGATTACTCCAAATCTGACCTTATTTCTAGGAATTGATGCTGTACTCTTCAGACATGTCTGGGTTAGCTTGATGATCTTGTTACCAGGTCTTCCAGGCAAACCTCCCAGCAACTTAATAGCCATATATATGTTCTGCAGTGAAGGAAATATATTATGTGCATTTTTTTAAACCTGGGATATACAATAACCTCATTTGACACAATACTGTGAAGTTTATACTTAAGTGGACTCTAGCATGTGACTTTGTTTTCCTCTCCCATTCTCCTGGTCCATGCTATAGACATTATGCCAATCAACTGTGTTGCCCAAGAGGCAGTCAATAAATAACAAACAAGAAAAACAGGCACCTCAATAAACTAGTGACTATATATATCCAAGCCTCCGATAACTGATAATTGGTTAGAAATTATGAAAATACTAAGATGTGATTTTTTTTTTCTTTTTAGGTGGGAAATGAGGAAAGATGAAACACTAGAAGAGGAAGAAAAAACAATGCTGGAACATTTAAAACAAGTTTGTACCATACAGAACTCCTCTGTCTCAGACAATGTAGAGAAAGAGTAATCTGCAGAAGACAGCAACAGCTTTATCTTGGGAAACCATCACATCCATTGCAGTAGGCTTTCTACTACGGTTAGAACGAACTCAAATGTGCTGTGAAGCAGGCAGCCAGTGACTGAGTAATCTCTGCACTGGAAAGGAATGCATCACATGAAGAATAAAAGGCTCCACAGTTTTTACTTTAAAAATAATTTCAAATGTTTTTCTTTCCTCAACCTTTCTCTTTATCTGATAAAACTGCTGCCATCTCGTGTTCTCTTTGAATTATTTTTTTCCTTTCTTTCAGTCTCAAAGTATCTATGACAACAGAAAAAATGTTCAGAAATCTTTCCTTAAGGATTTTTTAAATACAATATTTGGATGTTATGTTGAATGGAGTCACATAGCACCTGGGAGTCATCTGAAATTTACAGTTTAATTCTGTAGCTGTAGCCCAAGTCTAGATTTTAATTGCCTTTAAATACTCACCGTTGGACCAGTCTCTCTTCCCATATAACCTCTTCCACATCCAATTCATCTTAACCACAGCCACAAAAGCCTTCTCCAGCATTATTAACTTCAGTCATCTCTTCTTGCTGTGGTTTCATCCCCACTCCTAAATATGATTCAAACTTCCACTCATATGCTTTCAGGTCCTGTACCAAATGGCTCCAATTCAGGCAGCTCTTGCCATCTTTTTGACTCAAGCCATATGCTTACCATTTTTTCCAACTATAAATCATCTTTCTTCCAAACCTGTACTCAAAACTCATCCTCCTCTGCCCCATAATTCATTATTCACTATATCTAATACTGTTCTTAATTTCATTTTACACACACACACACACACACACACACACACACACACACACAACCACCCCATGCTGAAATAAATATGTTCTACTGCCCTGTCTGCCAAGTACACTTACAGATATTTGTTATGTCCTTCCTGATATTATATCATAAGGACCTTGAAGGCCTTAAATGTAATATGAAGTTTCCTTTTAAATTTGAAGGTGTCACTTCAGTACTATTCAGCAAATGGGCAGTTAATAAACACAGCTGATTAAATAACTACCATTGAAAAATGGGGCTGAAGAGATGACTCAGCAGTTAAGAGCACTAGTTGTTCTTGCAGAGGACCTGGGTTCAGTTCTCAGCACTCACATGGCAGCTAACAACCATCTGTAACTCCAATTCTAGGGGATCCAACACCTTCTTCTGACTTCTGTAGGCATTGCATGACATGGGTGCATTTACATACATGCAGACAATAGTCTCATAAAATAAAAATGATAAATAAAATATTTTAAAAAGAGAAAAGATAAACTGTTGAGAAAACTTCAGAACATGTGGGAGAAGCCTCATATCATGGGTCATTTTAGGCCATATGATATCAAACATCGTGTTTCCTGATGTTCTCAGAAAATTAATAAACTAATTCTTCCACATTCTGCAATCATTATGAAATATGATAGATTACATTATTTCTGAAGGAAAGTGCTCATGCATTTTTCAAAGAATAAATTTGGAGTGCAGAAGGGCCACCTCAGAAAACTTCTTGAAATTTCATTTAAATAAAAACTCTTAGTGGCCATGTAGCCAGAGTCATCCTAAAAAACACATTTTATTTTTTTAAAGAATGTATTTTAGGGGCTAGAGAGATGGCTCAGTGGTTAAGAACACTGACTGCTCTTTCAGAGGACCTGGGTTTGCTCTCCAGCACCCACATGGTACTAACAACTGTCTATAACTCCAGTTCCAGGGAATCTGATGCCCTCTTCTGACCTCTGTGGGCATTGCACAACACAAGTGTACTTATACTCATGCAGGCAATATACCCATACACATAAAGTAAAAATAATAAAATCCATTTTCCAATATGACTCAAATAATTTCTAAAAATTCAATTGTAGTCACTTAAAATTCTTGGATAATTTTATGAAAACTGAACATTCCATCCAATCTTATAAACACTAAAAAAGAAAAAATATATATAAAGACCACAGTTGACATTTCTTCAACTATTTTGGAGTCTTATGTACCTAATCTACATAACTGCATAGACAGACAATAAAATAGAAAGTCAAAAGAAAAGTAAATTGACCCAATGAACCAAATAAAAATATTACAAGATTTCAATGTGTAGGATTGTCTCCTACTATAACCAAAGGTGACCTTTTAGAGCTACTTTTATTTCACCTATATATTTGGATATTAATGCTGAAAATTGTGTTGCTTCAGAAAAATTTCTGTCTCTCTCATTTGAAAGAGGTCTATAGAAAGGGAAGAATGAGATGAGTTTGGAAGAAGAGAAAATTAGAAGAGAAAGGGAGCTTGCAGTTGAATTCTCTTTTGTACTTTATCATTGAAATTACTATAGTGATAAATACAGAAAGATTTGTAATTCAGAATGTTAAACGATGTGATTGATCTATCAGATAATTTTAACTTTGTAATTGAAGTTTTTAAAAATATGTCAAGTAGTATTTCAATGCAGTTGCTTTTCACATTTATTTTTGTATTTGTGTGAGTAAAAATAAGATTTAAACCTAATAGTTTATAACTCCTCATATGCTGATCACAAAAATATGATGTTCTGTGTTCTGTGTATCTACATTTTATGTAATTATAAAGAACTCTCATTTTTATTGTTGGTTTAACTGTTTCTATATAGAAATAGTGTGAATTTGGCTTTAATAAATTATTGTGCCTTTTTAAATATTTTATTTTTTAGTGTCTCTATAAACATTCTTGTAAAACTACCAACCAAAGGATAGGAAAAGGGTGCTCAAGTAATTTATAATCAGTCTTTCTAACTTTCTTTATATTTGGGCTAGTTTGTAGTAGGAAACAACCTTTAAAATGGAAGGAAATTCTAGCACATACAACAATGTGGATAAATTTTGCAAGGATATTAACCCTAAGTCCAATAAGCCAGTCACTCAAAAATAAATACTGTGTGGGATGGCCACAACTGGCCAAAGTATACAGAATAGGAGACTGCAGAGTGCATGTCCCTGGATAGAACCCTTATATTAAACCTCACCCACCCACAGCTCAGGGACCATTGCAGAAGAGGGGCAGAAAGATTGTAAGAGCCAGGAATGAGGGATAACCAAAAGGAAACAGAGTTTTCCAGGCTTCTGGGAACTTGCTCATAAGAACTTACAGCAATGGTGACAGCATGCACAAGACTCATGCAAGCTCAATCAGATAAAAACCCCACATAGAACTGTGGAAATTGGCAGGAGGCCCCAAACTTAGCCAAGGTACAATTGGTAGCTGATCACTGCTGGGTGAGGAAGAATTGGTCTTCTTTAAGGAAGTGACACTAGATAGGCTGGCCAGGCTCCAGTGAATGAACTTGTACTGAGGGACATCTGGATACACAAACGTCACTCAATAGGCCTTAATATATATGACAGAATGCATGAAATCTAGTGGGGGTGCCTAAGGGAGTTGCACTTAGGTGAAGGGATCTAAATGTGATTTAGATATATTACATGAAATGTGCAAAAATTCAAAAATATATATATATATGAAAAACTAAATACTATGTGATTCCACTTACATGAGTGTCCTAGTCTGTTCTTCATTGCTGTGACAAAACACTCTGACCAGTACCAACTTGGAGAGGAAAGGGTTTATTTGTCTTACATCTCCCAGGTCTCACGCAGTTCATCAGGGAGCCCAAGGTAGGAACTCAGGGCAGGAACCTGGAGGCAGGAGCTGGAGCACAGGCCATGGAGGAATGCTGCTTAC